GAAATGTAAACCTCTCTGCACTGTTAGAGATACATGTAAACACACATGCAAGCAGAGAGAGAACATCGTCTCCATGACCAAAGGGAACAGGAACCTCTCTACAGAGGCTTTTCTTTTCAACATGAATATGACTTAGGATTCTGGTTGGTCATGAGAAGGTTTTAACCTACCACAGAGAATCTAAAGGACAGCATTTGGGGACTGGACCAGTGTGTTCGGGAAATTTAGAACTCTTCTGGACTGAGAACAGAAACTCAAATTTATCAATAATCATTAATCAAAGGAAATTGTCAAAAGCCTGACACACATACTCTTTATATGCAGTTCAGATGATTTTATAATAAACTGTACCAAACTTTTAAGGAACAGATAGTCTCTATCTCTTACAAACTACTCAAGAAAAATATACATGAAAGCTACCCAACTTCTTAAATGAGGCTAATATAAACTTGATATAAAATAAGTAATATTTTTAAAAAAATTATAGAACAATTGTTTCACTTATGAACATTTGCAAAACTCCTAAAATAAAAAAACGTATCTGTATATGTATATATATGTAAGAATGTCTCAACATAATTAAATATACTCATTATTTATTATATTTTAATATTAAGAAAGAAAACTATATGATCATCTCATATAATTCACATAAAACATTAAAGCATTACATAGAATCAACACTTGGTCATGATAAAATTTTTAACTTGTTAAACAGTATTAATACAGGAAAAGTCCTTCATTTTATAGAGAATATATACCAAAACCTTAAGCAAACTTCATGCTTAATGAAGAAACTTTAAGAGCACTCATTAAAGACAGTAAGAAGATAAGGATGTCTACTGTTATTATAGAACACTGTACCAGAGGATCTATCCAATGCAATAATACAAGAAAAAGATATGAGTCAGAAGGAATAGAAAAAGAAGACAAATTATTGTTTTGTGATTGTCCACCTAGAAAATTCAAGAATATCTGCATATAGCCTGGCCAGGTGTGGCTCAGTAATTGAGCGTCGACCTAGAATCCAGGCGATCAGGTTCGATTCCCGGTCAGGGCACATGCCCAGGTTGTGGGCTCGATCAATGACTCTCTCATCATTGATGTTTCTATCTCTCTCTCTCCCTCTCCTTTCCTCTCTCTGAAATCAGTAAAGATATATTTAAAAAAAAAAAAGAATATCTGCATATAGATTCTTAGACCTAATAAGAAAAGTGAGCTGGATACAAGATCAAAATTCAAAAAGCAGGAATGTCTCTATGAGCCAGTAAATAACCAATCTGAAAATGTAATAAGAAAAAAGGATATCATGAAAAATATCAATAAAACCTATTGGAAATAAATACAGCGAAAGTTGTGTGAAGACATTTATAGGGGAAATCACCAGTCGTTCACATGACTAAAAGGAGAAGACCTTTTATTGTGAAGATGTCAGTTCTCCTGGAATATAAATTGAATGCAATTTTAATAAAATTCCCTACAGGATTTCGGTGTGTGTGCACAGGCGGGCAACTAGACAAACTAACATTTAAATGAACTAGTAAAACCCAAGAAAGCCAAGAAATTCTTTAAAAAAATATAGAAGTACTCATAATAAACAATTCTTGTGTGCTTCCTTAAACGGTAGGCACTATTCTAACATTCTGTAGACATTATCTCCTCACAATTATCCTTAAAGTGGTACTATGATCTATTTTAGAGACCAGGAGACTGAGAGAAATTAGGTAGCTTGCCCAAAGTTACCTGATATTCAGGAGTAGCAATAGATGCAGTGTGATAAGAGTGTAATATCTTTCAAGTACTGAGGAGAAAATAATTGTGAGTCCAGGATTCTACACTCAGTCAAACTCTCATTTGTAAGAGCAAAATAGAGACGTTTTCAGGAATACAAATACCTTAAAGTTTGCCAAAGATCTTTTATGAAAGAACTAAATTTATGTTGATATGAAGAAAAATGAACTCAGAAGGAAGGAGTGGGGTATCAGAAGTAGCAGCCTCCAAAATGCATTGAATGAAACAATGTAAAGTAGGTGAGAAAACTGGGACCCAAGGAAAAGTATAGGTAGGAAATAAAAAGTGTATAACAATGTTATTAGTTATCAAAAAATAGAGGCCATAAAGTGCTGTACCTATGCTAGAAGTAAGCCACTGAGTTGGCTCTGTGCTTCCTTTTGGCCGAATAAAAAATGCAAACCGTCAACTAAAGGATTCACAGCACCCACAAGAAAAAACAAACAAGTTGCTCACAGAACTTTTCTTGGCACCGTGACCAGAAGGACTTTTCTCATACGGTTAAATGTCTACAAGATCTGGGACACCGGTCCAAGTATGATAATTTGGGAAAGGCGTCTTGACTTCTTACCATTGACTCTTACAATTTTTTTTCAACAAGGAGATGATTTAGATGCAGCAGCCTTCCAGAAATCTCTTCTTTGTAGAATAGTAAAGATGAAGCCTCCTTCTAAAGGAGTATTATTTGAACGACCAGGTGTTTTAGAAAAGCCCATCCTCCTGGGATATCGAGGTGTGTTTCTGGAAGAGGGTGGATAAGGTGACCTCTGAGGCCTGGTTGCCTTGGAGGGCGCGAGGTGCTGCATGTGTGTGGGCATTTTTCCCAGAGCTAGCTACCCCCAGAACCACTCACACTGAATATTTCCACATCTACTAAACCAGCATGGGCTAACCCACACAGCCAGTCTTCTAAAACTTAGTTTATTGTTGCATTTTCACAGTAATAAGCACCAAGAAGCAACCAGCTTTCCTTCTTCTCCTTCCCGTTCCATGAGTCCTCGGCCTTCCTACCGACATCCCGCGTACCTCGCAGGTAACAGCAGCCCGGGAGCTCTCCCTGGGTCTTCCTATCCATCACACTCCCCCGGCAACGCCAGGAACAGCGTCAGCCCACATTGGCAGAGCTCTGAAGAATAATTTGCCTGATCTACTTAAACATTCTGCCTTGTACCGGGACTGCTCCAGAATCCCACGGGGTTCCTGGAACTCCAGCTCCCTGGGAAGCCTCCAAGGAATGCGGATCCTTATTGGTACAGCTGGCTCCCAAAGGAAGGAGAGCTACCTCTGGCTAAGTCTGGAGCAATTCCCAAGGATTTCCAAAGGTGACGGTGGATGAAAAAAGAAAAGAAAGAGACAGGTGACAGTGGGAGACAGGAGAGATGGGAGACAGAGGCATTTTACAATTAATCAAAATACAGTTATTAAAGCACAAGATACTCTCACCCTTCCTTTCTCTATTTTTTCTTATAATTAAAATAATAATAGCACACATGCAGGGATATTGTAGGCATTAGGATTGAGATGCATAGACTTTGGCCACTGACCTGAATTCAACTGGCACATAGTGGCTACGCGACCTTGGGAAGTTACCCCTCTGATTCTAGTTTCTGAATCTTATACAAGGAGAACAATAATAATGGTACATACCTCAGAGAGTTTTTAAATGAAATGCTGTTTGTATGTGCTTTATACTCAATAGATCTTAGCTATTACTACTGTAAAAATTTGAGGAATGCCGGCAAGCACAAAGAAAATCGAAAGCACCTATAATCCCGCCATCCATGTTGATGCATATAATTCCAATGTTTTTGGATGTATCTTTAAAGAGTGAGTTTACATTGCTTTCTATTTCATAACCTGCCTTTACCATTTAACACCATACCCTAAGCATGTCCTATGTAATTCGGTATTCTTATACAATATGATTTTAAAAGGCCACATCCTTTCCTTCGGGTTATTTTACCTCTTTATGACCCTTGTCCCCCTTCCTCTCTGCAGGCTCCACGCTTCTTGTATTTACATCTCATCTGACCCATCCGGATAATCACTGGCTGCTTTCCCTTTCTCTCCCCATCCAGAACACCTGCTCCTTAGTAAGGGCCACGCTAGCACTCCTCTCCCCAGCGTCCAGAGTAGAGTATCCGGGGCTGCACAGCAAACCCCTGTGGCTGATGGCAAACCACCCAGTTTAACAAGATTCCATGAAGTGTTGGTGCAAAAGCTAAAGAAGGCAGAAGGCCAGTTCTCTCCAAAAACCGTAAGGTTGATTTCTGGGGCATTAAATACACTATTAAAAATTCTCAGGAAGGGGAAGAGACCGAAGACTTTTATCTGAGCGCATTGTTTTTCTAAGCAACAGGGTCAAACAAGTTCAAAACTTTCTTTTTTAATGGAAGTCACAACACTTCCTTATCAATGACACGTTAAGACTACAGTAAAACTTTACTAATTCATACAAATGGGGACTAGTCAAACTCAACCAGCAGAGGAAAAGGAATTACATCCTTTTTAAAGTACAGGAGTTTATTTCCAACGAAATTCTTTTTTTTAAATCTCTATTTCCAAATAGCTCAACACCTTGACCTGTTCTGACAGACTGCTCAGGACCTGATCTAGTGCAGCCGCACCTACTGTTGGTGTAGAAACGGGAATGGCTGAAGCTCTTCAAAAGTGCTTCTCCCTAAAAACAGTAAAAAGATCAGCGCCTGGGGCTAGGGGCCCGCTGGCTGCCCGGGGAGGCTCCTCCTTCCCAGGTCGGGCCGCAGGGACCCAGCGGCGGCCCCCTGCCGCTCCGGCCCAGCTCGAGCGCAGAGGCTGGTCCGCGTCTCCACCCGGGTCAACCCCTCCCCCCGCCAAACACAATCCAGATTCCAGACTCGATCTGTCCAGACCCACCTGAGAATTAACAAGCTCCTTCTAAGCACCCAGAGGACCAGGCCTGTCATGGAAACACTGATTCAGCCGTAATGCGAACCGACATAAAACCGCACACATGAACTACACATTCTTCCACCCAACCGGAGTCAGGTCGAAACAGCGGCCTCGGGAGCAGAAGTGAGGCTTTTTCTTTGTGGTCCTGCTCGTGTCAGCCCGTCCACCGCCTCGTCCTCACAAC